GTGCGCTCGCCAGACAGACAGAGAGAGACATAGAGACAGAAAGCGAGAAATCACCCCCCAGGGGGGATGGTCACGCCGCAATCCCTTCTCCTCCATTCTCCTCTCGGGATCTTGGGCACGCACGCACACGCGCCCGGCGTGAGTTTTAAGCCACTGGGTCCGGGACACGAACCGCAGTCGACTACGTGGGAGTCCAGCGACATAGCCATTACGCTAACTGCTGGTTCCCCCCTCCCTGTCTTTGATGTGCCTGCCTTCTCTGCTTCTGTTAACCATGTAATGAGGCAGGACCAGAGGCTGGCTTGATGGCAGCTCCATACTTTTGGAATCTCCACCTACCAGAATCTGAGCCAAATAACCTTTGTTCTTTGTAAATCACTCTATGTCTGATGTTTCTGTTTTACATCATAGTAACCAACTAATACAGGATGGTATAAAGTAGAAACTAAGAGAATACTCTAGAACTGGACCTGAATCCTGGCTCTGTCATTGGCTTTATAACCTCAGGTGAATTATTTAATCCCCCAAGGGGGATTAATAATAATTTCCTCACCTGAAAAGTAAGGATAACAATAGTGACTGCCCGATAGGTTTGTGGGAGCATTGACTGAATCAGTTACGGTTCCATAGCAGTGCTTTGTGCTTGGAGTGTGTGTGTCTGTGTGTGTGCAGGGGTGGGCCTGTGTGCGTCTGCACATGCGCCTGTGTATGGGTGGATGTGTTCATGTATGGCTTTTGTGGGTATATGTACATGTATTTGAAAGTGAGTGTGTGTGGGTATGTGCATGTGTGTAGGTGTCTGTATACACATGTATATGTGTGTGCATATTTTTGTGTGTATTTGTGTGCATTGGCTATTATTACTACAGCCTGGGCTTAGTGTGTTGATCCAATTGTAAGCGTCCTTTTGAAGTTCTTTGAAATGTTTGAAAAATTGTCACAGCTGCTTCCTGGTATTCTGGAAACTTATAAGGGAGCGAGGTCAGAATAGATCAGCTTTCATAATAAACTCTGAGATTTCATGTCAAGTAATTTCAATTGTCAAGTAAGTTTTGGGATTTCATCTTTTACAAAAGAAAGGAGATTGAGCAATGCTGTTCCCTCCTAAAACCTGTTGGGGTTGGTTCTTAGCTCAAGACGTCTTTTCTTCTTCAGCTTTTTAAAGTTCATTTATTTATCTCTTCAATGAGGTAATTAGGGAGAGGGACAGATCGAGAGATGTATGAAGCACCCCACCTCAGCCAGACCAATCACGGGCAGGTCTGTGCACGTGAACTGGAGCAGTCCCCTGTCGGTGAGCCTCACAGAGCATTGCACTTACCATCGCATCCTTCTCCAGCCCCTCCTGGGCTTTTAAGAAGAAGCCACAAAAGAACTACATTAGGGATTCCTATTGAAACCTGTGTTACTGGAACTGTTGTCACATTCTGTAGAGGCTGCCTGACAGATGTTGATCATCCATTGATGATCCTCCACATTAGCCATAGAGAAATACTCAGAGCCAGCACAATTTATTCCCTGTAATTAAAAATGTGGAAGGCTGCAGTTTGGGATCAGACTGTCGTCTTCTTTGTTTCTTTTACTTGTCAACATCAGAATGTTGTCTATGTTGTGGCCAACAGTAGCACAGCAGTGATTCAGCTAGAACCACAAGGGAAAGGTCTTGGGATCGTGTCCTGGCCCCTCCCTGAGCATGTCAGGCATGCACGTGCCTGAGATCTGGGCTGGCTGAGACTAGGGAGGCCCTTGGTGGGAGACTCTATTGGGGGTGCCTCTCTCTGTCTCTTTTTCTCCTGTATCTAAATTTTTAGGGCAAAATATAGAGTTTTCTTAGAAGAACTTTTGGGCAACAATGACGTCTAGCCCTTACTTTTTCCTGTAAACTCAGGGATTCTCCAGGGTGCCATGTCAGGTACTGCTGAGCCTCTGTATCTCCAAAAAAAGTAAGAGAAGCTTCCAGCTTTTGGTGCTCAGGCTGCTGTCTCTCCATTGAACTGTCTGTGTTACATGGGTCTTCCTATTTTTTATATAAGATGCAAAATGGGATTGAAAGGAATAAAAATAGGAGTTAAGGGGCAGCTGGTGGTGTGGTGTTTAAGGCACTGCCCTCCCACATGGCTGACCCTAGTTCAAGTCTGAACTGGTGGCTTGACAGTCACATTGAGCATGTGCATGCGTGCCCAGAAATCCCAAGAAGAGGAGGAGGAAAAGGGACTTTGGTGTGGCCATTCCTTCGAGGGGGGTTGTGATTTCTTACTTTCCCTTTTACTGTCTCTCTTTGTCTCTCTACAGCAAGGGTACACACACACACACACTCCCACACACACATGTACACATACACGTATGTTAAAATGGTCCAAACCTAAAGATAAAAGTAGTAAAACTTAAACTAAATAGAATATTAAGATAATAGCTCTGGGGCTTCCCATAGATCATGCAGAGCCCTTTTATTGACATAGGCTCTGACTTAATTGGGATACTCTATAAGACAGACTTTTCTAAATGATCAGCCAGAGGGGCTTGAGGGAGGTAGGTGGTGACTGGTGCTCTGCGGGGCCGACCCCCATGGGAAGTCTGGGTTCGTGTCCAGAGACTTCCCTGAGTACCCCAGGTGTGTGCTTGCCCATGATCCAGGGCTGGCTGGAACTGGGGGGTGGATCATAGCATGGAAACTCTATTGGGGGTGCTTTCTCTCTCGCTCATGGAAGAAATAAATAAATAAATAAACTTAAAGGAAAAATGATGAGTTCTCCACTAAAGACCTGTTGGAGAGATCTTGGAGAAGGTCTTCGTTCAACACACACTACCCTTGGTCTTGTTTGATGCCAGTAACACCCATTGGGCTGGAGGCATGGGTCTAAGGTACCTAAAGGAAAGCAGACCTTACTTTAGGCTCAGCTGTCTAGAGTTGCCTGCTCAAAAACTTCATTTGATGACTGCAGTAAACTATATATCCCCAGCTGGGTACTACTTTATAGTATGTTCATTCTACTCACTGAGGTTTATGCCTAAAGTCAGACTTGGGTTCATGTATATGTATATATCAGCTGTGCTAGCTATTGGAAATATTTAGACTAATTAAGTTCATTACCAAATCAATTAAATGGGGGGGAAAGGCATAGAAAGCAACCATGGATACCAGAGACAATGTGGGAGGAGGGTGGGACATGGAAGAGGGTGAGGGATAGGGAATCGAGGATTGAAAAAAAAGAAAAGGGAACATATACAAGACATAAATGGAAAATTATTTGCTGAGAACACGTATGTTGATGTGCTTGATTGAGCCAATACACAGTGTATTCTGGATGGAAAATTCATTTTGTATGCTGCAATGATATATAGTGAGTTAATGTAAAAAATAAATTTAAAGAGAAAAAAATAAAAAAAGAAATAAAAAAAAAAGCGAAGAAACTTCCTGAAGGCGAGACTTCAACACTGTACTCTTCTTGACTGTACTCTGTGTGCCATTTTATGATACATGTTTATTAAGACTGATAAACTGATCTTCAATTAAGCCAACAACACGGAAAACTCAGGTAATCAGACTCTACTGGTCTCCTTTGGCTTCACAATTGGTATTCTGTACTGTAGGGGTTGTGAGAGCAGAGACCTTGTCTTACTAAGTTTTGCGTCCTGAGAGCCTGTCACAGTGGGTTCTCAGTGTATGATGGCTAAACTGAGCTGGTCTGCCCAACCTCAGGGACAACTCAGAGCATAAATTACTCATCCTCTGGCCTCCTGGCTCACACGTGAATTTCTCCTATTACCAATATATACTGAATTAACAGCCTATTTCTCCCCCCATTGCTCCCAGGGTCTGTATTCCAGTGTAGTGTGCCCGGGTCTTGTGAAGACCAATTTGACATACGGAATTCTGCCTCCCTTTGTGTGGACACTGCTCATGCCAATCATCTGGCTGGTGAGTGATGAACACTTCTTTTCTTAGTTTATGCAATCTTTTCAGCTTGGAACCTAATGCCTGTGCCTGAAAGTTGGAAAATGATCAAAAAGTTGAACCTGGAGGTGGCAGAATTCCATTTTACTTGAGGTGTTTGAAGTTCCCTATTTTGTAACCTCTGCTTTTTTACCACCTGGTATTTCCCTTGTTTCACCATCTGAGTTTCCACTTCTTTTCAAAGGGATGCTGCTTTGATCATGCCCTGTAGGTCCCAAGAGTTCTCTAATAATATACTTCAAAATGTTCATGGATAATGTATTATAAGAAAGCTATGCATAGATTTCAGAATTTTCTTGCAGCACCAAATAAACTTGTGCTTTCTTTCCATGAACTTTTTAAAGTCTCCTCATGATTTTGGGAAACCTATATTCAGCAGTGTTGAACTAGATGCTTCTCTGACTTTTCAGTGTAGTCAAGTGCATTGAAAGTTCTCAAGGGGACCAGCAGATGGTATAATGGTTACGTCGCTGGACTCCTACATGGTCAACCGCAGTTTGACTCTCAGACCCAGCAGCTTAGAACTCACGCTGGGCACGTGTGCGTGCGTGCCCAAAATCCTGAGAGGAGACTGGAGGAGAAGGGGTCACGGCGTAGCCATAACCCTTTGTGGGTGATTTCTCGCTTTCTGTCTCACTCTGTCTCTCTGGTGAGTGCACATACCCTGTAGCAAACATATCTCCCTAAAAAAACAAAGAAAGAAGGTTCTCAAGAAGAAGATGATCGTGCATGGTACAGCCATGGAGCTGTGCTGCTGTTTGTTTTGCTTTGCATTTTAAGCTCACAGACTCCTGTTTCTCCAGCACACACTGGAAAGTGCTACTTTCGGGAACTGATCCTTCCCTTAGGGCTCTGGAAGAACTGTCCCTTCAGTATGGCAGGTGTAGGAGTGAGATCTGAAGCTTTTTTTTTTTTTTTTTTTGAGAGGTTTTTGCTGTAGGGCACATGCGCTTGCCAGACAGACAGAGAGAGACAGAGACAGAAAGCGAGAAATCACCCCCCAGAGGGGATGGCCACGCCGCAATCCCTTCTCCTCCATTCTCCTCTCAGGATCTTGGTCACGCACGCACATGCGCCCAGTGTGAGTTTTAAGCCACCGGATCCGGGACACGAACCACAGTCGACTACGAGGGAGTCCAGTGACATAGCCATTATGCTAACTGCTGGTTCCTAGATCTGAAGCTTATTGACCTTCATGTTGAAAGTGCTTGACGGGGAGTGGTAGAGACCTAAGTGATACTTACTTCTCTTTTGACTTCTTTATTTTTTGATACTGAAAAATATTCTATAATCAGAAATGCAGGTTTCCTTTCTAATAATTTAAATGAATAGTTCTTTTATGACTCCCTGCTAAAACACCTCAAAATGACTCTTCTTTTCTTTTCCCCAGCTTCGCTTTTTTACAAATAGTTACACTATGACACCATACAATGGAGCAGAAGCACTGGTATGTCCCGGGTTTTCTTGGCTTACGTAATGGGTTAGCAGGTGTGAACTCTGAGTTCACTGGTGGTAGAAACAATTTTAGGCAGGAAACAAATAATAGCGCCAGCTCTGTAAACAGTCGGGGCTCTGCGTGGGACTAAGGTGGACTTGAGGGCTGAGTGCAGAACATGGGAAGCGAAGTTGAAGAGTTTATCATCTGCCATGGCTCTGGGTACTGTGACTGTGGGAGAAGCACTTCTGTGCAAGCTAGATGCACAGGAGGCTGGAGAGAGCCAGGGCAGAGGACCCTTGGAGGAGCAGCAAAGCAGGATTGTGGCTGGGCAGTCAGTGAACAGTTTTCCGTGGGGATCATGCATCTTGAAGTCAAGAGTAGGGTCACAAAGTCCACTCGCACACCCCTCTATGAAGAGTCTCTTTCCTCTGTTAGTATTAGAGGATCAAGTTGTTAACATTATTAGGAAACCAGAGAATTTCCTTAAATCACACTTGGCAGGCGGATCACATGTATTTTCCCACTGATGCCAGACATCACTAATGGATCGTAATATTTTTTGCTGTGTACAAATAATGTCTCTGAGTATTTTTCAACATGAAGCCCAAACACAGCCACTACTAATGGATCAGAATTGTCATATAAAATGAAACTTGTCATCCGTTCTTTAAACCATCTGTTAGAAATCCCGTTGTACCAATTTTTTTTGTCTCTCTCTCTCCCTCACTCCCTTCGGTCCTTCAGGATTTTTATTGTTTGTCTCAGAAACTTGAAGGCCTGGCACTATTCTGCCCATACTTAGTAGATTCTTAAATCTTGACAGAATTGAAACTAACTATGCAAAACATTAAGGGAATTGGCTTAATGTTCTCGTTTTGATAAACACTGCAGGAATAGATGCATTTATTGTTGGGACACAAATTCATTGTAGAAGCAAATGCTTCTATTAGGTTATCAGAAAAGTCACGGCATGTTTTTCTATGTAAAGCATCATGATTTTTCCGATGACCCAATATATTTTAATTAGTCCTTAATATATTTGCTGAACCATTAGAAATATTGGTGGGGAATTCCTAAAGGGCTATTCATTCTGCGTATCTGCAACACTGAAAACCAAGGGTAGAGACCAACTGTACACTGAGAGTTAGCATGTCGGCAGTCGTTAGAAGACAGTAATCGTTAAGTAATTTAGAATTACACTTAGAAAAAAAGAGTGCAATCAGGCGGCGAGTACTCTTGAAATAACCAGGAAGAGGAACAGGCTGGAGTAGTTGGGTCAGATTTTGCTTCCTGAGTGGAACTAAGTAAGTATTAAAAATTTTTCCATGACCAAAAACCCCACTATAAATAAAATTCAAAGACTAGTAACAAAGTAGAAGAAAAATCCCTGCCGCTCATCTTATAGGTAAAAGGTTAATTTTCTTAATAGATTCAAGAGTTTCAAAAATAAGAAAAACAATCATGGGCAAAGGACAAGAACAGAGAATTTTTGAACTTGTTTTAATAATAAGAAAAGATGTTCAGACTCACTCATACTGAAAGGCAAATTCAAACTGCAATTAAAAGCTATTTTTCAACTCATACTTCCGAAGACTAGGAAGTTTGACGATGCACTATTCTGGCAAGTGTAAACAGAACTGCTCTTCTGCATGGCAAGGGGGAGGGGAAATGAATACAGCCTCTTTTGAGGCCTCTTTGGTGAGAGCAGCCAAAATGCACACACCCTTGACCCAGCAGTTCCGACTTTGGTATTTATCTTACAGATGTCCTCATATTCAATGATGTGTTCGTCCTTCCTTACCATATAGTTCATAATAGTAAAGACTGGAAACAACGTGGGTGTCCTTTAATTGGAGACTGATTATATTATACTGTCTCCCTAAAATGGACTATACTTTCTAAAAAAATAAACTGCAACAGCTCTCTATATAACATTTGGAAATACCTCCAAGGCATATTGTTAAAGTAAAAAATTCTGTATATTATGCTTTCACTTGAGAAAGAGAAAAGGATACTTATATACGTGACCTGTTTTGTTTTGCTATAGGACGCTTGCACTCACCAGATAGACAAAGACAGACAGATGGAAAGCAAGAAATCACTCCCCAGGGGGAATGGCCACACCACAATCCCTTCTTCCATTCTCCTTTCACGATTTTGGGCACATACACACACCACTGGTGATTTTTAAGCTGCTGGGTCTGGGACTCAAACCATGGTCGACCATGTGGAAGTCCAGCTGCCTTAACTACCACTCCACTTGCCAGTCCCATTATGTGGATCTCTTGAGTGTTGTCTATGTGCATGCTTATCTATGAATGAAGTACTGTATTAGTGATTTGTGTGTTACTGTGGCATGAGCCAAATATTGATTATTCTTATTACTAATTTTTAATTTTGCCAGAAGGCATGTGTGCTAATTAAAGAGAGGGAGCAGGAGAAAATACCCCTCCGATGGGGAGTGGTCACACCACAGTCCCTTCTCTTTTGTCCATCCTGTTGGGGTTTGGGGCATGTTTTTCAAACTGGCAGGGCCAGTATTTGAACCCCTCAGTCAGTTATGTGGGATCTGGCTCCTTTAAAAACCAGGCCACAGGGCTGGCCCAAGCCAAGTATTAATTCTAAATAAGTTAGTCCATATGCTATGAGTTTTATTTGGGAATTAAGGGAAGAAACCCTTTAAACTGATTATTTCGCTTTAAATACATTTTCGAAGGATATCATTAAGCAGGCTGCCCTACTTTCTCCCTTCAAATTGCAATAGTGCATGAAGACATCACAGTTAGCCAGGGATACTCGGGGACGTTTAGCATTCGTTTAAGAAGCTCTGCAAGTGCTGAGTATAAATCCCCACTGACCTCGCTCACCTCGGGCAGCAGAAAGAAATCACTGACACTCTCCCTTTCCAGGTATGGATTTTCCACCAAAAGCCCGAGTCTCTTGATCCTCTGACCAAATATCTGAGTGTCACCACAGGCTTTGGAAACAATTACGTCAAGACGCAGAAGGTAAATCGGTTTCACTGTGGCACTGAAGATGTCTGGGGTGGCCTGAGGAGCTGGGCCCTGGGTTCCTGACCCGCCTCACCAGCTCCCAGCTGTCTTTCCCTTGGGGGCTCGCTCTCTGTTCAGCCTTGTCTCCTGCCCGTTTTCATTTCCACCCGCCTTCTCCTTCCTCTGAGCCTTTGTGCCTCTTGTTCTCTCTGCATGGGCTGCTCTCACCCTTCTTCCAGCTGATAACCCAGCCTTCCACTGCCCTTTGGAGCAGCGTGGGTGCCTCCACTGTAGAATTTCTTGGCAACTGGTCCTGGCTCTGTGTAGCACTCGGTCACCCCTCAGAGCTCGGGAGGAGGAGAGCCACATCCCCCTTTCCTAGCACCTTGTCTTGCGCTCGGCAGGCACTCCGTAAATACATTGTGACTTGGGTGGCACACCAAGTGTCTTTCCATGTGAAGTCAACTGCTCTTGGACCATGCAGTTCTGTCTGTGACAGTTATCAGCTTTAATGGATCGGTGTGTTGAAGAGGCAGGGGGTGGAGTATGGAAGAAGAAAATCACTACCGCGTCCTTTGGATGCTGTGTAATCTTCTGAAAATGAATCAAACCTAGAGTTACATACTGGGGAAATGAGAACATTTATTTCCTATTATAAGAACTTTTTTTCTTTTTTAGGTTTTTGCCATAAAGCACATGTGCTCCACAGAGAGAGACAGAGAGAGAAAAAGTGAGGAATCATCCCCTAGGAGGGGGATGACCACACCAAAATCCCTTCTCCTCCATTTTTCTCTCAAGATTTTGGGCATGCATGCACACCCTTCTGGCATGATTTTTAAGCCACCAGGCCCAGGACTTGCACACCAGTCAGCCATGTGGGAATCCAGCACCTTAGCCACCATGCCACCTGCTGGCCCATAAGGACTATTTTTAACCTATCTAAAATCTGGGCTTTTCTTTTTTTTCTCCCCACTTAAAGATAATGGATATTAGGAGATGAGTAGCTATTAGGAATTAATAAACAGAACACTTGATTTTCCTCTTCTGTCCTTTTATCACATAGTGATTTGGCATCTTCTGTTACTGGGTACGTAGGAGTTGGGTGATAGCAAAACTCAGATCTCTGAAAAGATCAAAGACCTTTATTGGTGAGTGTCAGAGTTCAGATAGAGTTACTGTGTGCTTTTCTGTCATCAGTAAGATCTATTTAGCGTCCCCTCTTTTCACTGCCTAGCTTACTGTAGCACGGCACGGCATAAAACAAAACAAAAGTGAGGTAAATAAATTACGATGATCTTTGCATGTCAGTAGCATGAAGTCTAGAGAGAGCATGGTGTTTCCATGAATGAACCTGCCATGTGTTTTGAGGTCTGTTCCCTGGGTTACCAGGTACCTTTAAAGGTAATGCGAGTAAATTTTCATATGATATTCCTCTCCTTTAGAGACTTACATAGTGCACAGTGGCCCAGGAAAGGCATTGAGGAGTGGAAACGGTTAGAAAATGTGCATGGCAAGTTTAACCTTCGTGTTTCCACATTGCTCTTGACCGTGTTCATACTTTTCAAATGTTATGTAACCCTTAACATCCTAAAGAACATACTTTTACATACTTTTAAACTTTCAGAGTTTATTGGAACTTACTATCTATTAGCCTAGAGAGAATGATTTATGGAGGGGAGAAAATGTTTAATTCTGCAGGACAAAGTATTTTATTAATATATTATGGAAATATATTGAAGAAAATGTTTTCACCTTTGATTAATTTGGAAGAAGTCAGCTTTCTCCCATTAAAAGTGGGCTTGAACTAGAAGAGACCGCTAGTGCTTGAACTAGAAGAGACCTCTAATGCGCCTTTCCATTTCAGGAGGGAAGAACACTAACATGATTGAATCAATTTATGTTCATTTATTATTTCCAAAAATGTTAACAAATTTCTTTCATTTTTAGCCACTCAGCTTGTAAAGAAAGAGCTGGTTGCCTGTTAACGTTCAAGCTCTGTGCTGACTTAGAAAGATATCACTATTTTATAAGGGCTGAGAGTTTGCTTTTACATATAGTGTATCAGTTAACATGAGATTTTCTACATACTGAAATATAAGAATATTAAGTACAGTGGACTAAATAAGACAGACTCTTAAATTTCATGCATGTAAAAGTAGGTTGGGGCCAGCTAGTGGTGTGGTGGTTAAGGCAGCTGGATCCCACATGGCTAACTGCAGTTTGAGTCCCAGATCCAGTGGCTTGGAAAACATACTGAGTGCATGTGCATGCATGACCAAAATCTCAGAGAGGCATATGGAGGAGAAGGGATTGCAGTGTGACCATTTTCCATGGGGAGTGCTTTCTCACCTTCCCTCTTACTTCTCTCTATTTCTATTCAGGGAGCATAAGCACCCTCTATCTAGCTTTAAAAAAAAATAAAATAAAATAAAGGGAACCAGCAGTTAGCGTAATGGCTATGTCGCTGGACTCCCACGTAGTCGACTGCGGTTCGCATCCCGAACTCGGTGGCTTAAAAAACTCACGCCAGGAGCATGTGCGTGCGTGCCCAAGATCCCGAGAGGAGAATGGAGGAGAAGGGATTGCGGCGTGACCATCCCCCCTGGGGGGTGATTTCTCGCTTTCTGTCTCTAATGTCTCTCTCTGTCTGTCTGGCGAGCGCACGCACCCTATAGCAAAAATCTCTCCAAAAAAAAAAAAAAAAGAAAAAAAAAA